GGTCTGCATTACTTCATTTAGGATTAATAATGTAAAAAGATAGATATTTGCACAAAAAAACCCAAGCAAATGAATCCAGTCATACTACTACAGGTACCTTAAAATCTTCAAAGTTCTTTAAAAAGAAGCTTGTAATGAGCTATGTTCTTTCCCATGTATGAGTTCTATTTCTAATGAACACAAACACTTAGAAAAAAAAATACATTATACTCATCAAAATTTTCATAAAATTACTATAATCTAATTTAGAAGTGTCATTTATGAATCTGTAGTTTTAAACAGAATAGGGTTTTGCACCTAGCTTTAGAGCCAAACTCTGGCATATAGGAAAGAATCCTTCCCAACATTATCTTATTTACCATTTAAGTATTGAATGAACTCTGAGAACTTAGAAGAAAGGGCTCATACTAATTTTAAAACGTGTTTTCACTGAAATGTAGCACTTTGCAAACATTTTAATTTTTGTTCCCTATATGACCTCAGTAAAGAAACAAGACAGATTAAGCAAACAGCTCAAACTGAAGAAAACACTGTGGATATCTTATAACAAAGATTTTTTTGTTTCAATTCTTTATAACCAAAAATATGCTCCTGCAGAACTGTGCTTAAATTGCCATTCCAAAGTTCATCTTCTCTCTGTTATCACTGCAGTATCATGTTGGATTTGCAGTTAAAATGCCCACTTGACTGCTGTCAGAAGGATTAAATGTTGATCCACATAGGTTGACAAAATAAGGTATTTCCAGCTATAAACTCTGGGAATTTAGATTTAAAACCACCTGATAGGAAATCCAGATAACAATAAAGGTAGGGAAATTGTCTACTTCATGAGGGTATCTTGAAGGACTGTTTTTGCCAAACATAAGCAGGATTATGAAGRCACAATTGCAACTGGCCATGGGGGTCCATACCAATTTTAACAAAAGCCTAAAACTGTTCTGGCCTCCATGGGTTTTGCATAAAGCCTGGGTAATGCACATATTGAAACTATGACTATACTATCAGTATGTACACTACAGCAAGATTTAAAGGATGTTTATTAGGTTTATTAGACTATCCACTAATAACACGGAAGATCAGTTTGAAAAATAACAGAAATCTTATGCTTTGGGGTTAAAGTCAGTCCATAAACATCTGGTGAGTAATTCTTTCAGAAGAAGATTAAACTGTCAGTTCTTGGATCTTTTTGTTGGTATCCAGTTGCTGCCCACAGCAAAAGAAAACATGTTAGAGTAAATTAATTGTATATCTGGTAAAATACAACTGTTACTGTGCTCTTAACTKAAGTCTTGATTTCAAATTTATTAACCTCATGCACTACAAATTCAACTCTATGATTGTTCTTCAAGAAAACCTTGAGTAGTTCTATATGAGRCTTACTTTCATGAGGAATAAGTACTTCATGTACAAAAAAAAATGTACATCTTCATTCTTATTCAGTTTTTCCAAACTGCGTCATCCCCTAACAAGTAACTTTCTGAAAAAGTAATAAAATCACTATTTTCTCCTTTTATGTTCCCTCTGCTCAAAGTTCTACTCAAATGATTTAAAACATCCTAACTCTGATCTTCTCACTTCCTCTATTACTAGCAGATCTCTCCCCAGGGCCATATTTTAGTTTCTAAAWGCTCTGGACAAACACAGGTGAGCTTAAAAATACTTGCCAGGGAAAAAAAAAAAACCCAAAAAAAACCAACACATATACAGAGGGAAAATAAAAAGAAGCAAACTCAAAGAAATTAGGTCTATACCAAAAAAAATTAACATAGATTTTACTAGCTTATTCTACTGGATCATGCCTAGTTTTAGGAYGATGCTGCTATCTCACACATTCAACTCAACTAATGTGAACTATAATCAATATTTTCATTATTTCCTCTTGCATACCCAAAGTCCAAGAGCAGTCCTTAGATATAACCTTAGCTGTACCTCAGCTTCCTGCTGTCACAAAATAGATATTCATATTGCTTGAGTAGTTTGAAAATAGTTCCACTGGTTCATTATTATAGCTACTAACACATAAATTCATCATGCTTAAAACAGGATGTAGCTATGTCGTATGTAACAACTTCAAGAATATTTCATTCTTTCAATACAGAAGATCACATTAATGTTTTAAATACATATGCCACAAGTAACTCATTGAGAAGATCTTGGTGTAAAATAAAATATTCAGTTTACTTCTATGAAATTCTAATCTGTATCTCAGAAAGACAAAGTGGTAACAAGSATCCTAAAAATGCCACAAAATGGAGAGCTGGCTTTCAGGTGTGTTACAAATGAAATCAGGTGTGTTACCGTTCAAAACAGTGACTGCATCTGTGTTTTCACTCAAGCAGACCTCTCACAAACTTCAGAAAGGCAATTTATTTACATAAAAACTGCAGGGAAAGGCCTGTTAATTCTTAAGTATGAGTCAGCTTTTATGTTTCACATCCAAATGAGGATTTTTATTATCAGCAAAGAAAGGAAAACCAGTCTGAGGTGCTACTTAAGCTGCTAGCCCAGATGCCTTGACCTGCAGATAACAAACCAAAACTGCCATCAGCTGTACTCACTTCTGTGTGCAGCAGGATCACAGATCATGGATCCTTAAATATGCAGCCCGTGTAACTTATGTAACTGAACATGAAAATACCCAACTGAAATACCACAAGTTCTGCACAAGCAAAGCTTGGAGRGGCAGAATTTGGGTTATGCGTGTGTCAGTGTGTTTTTAATTTGATTCAGACTGACTGAGGTTCCAACTCTGGCTCGGCTCTGGGCCCCTGAAGCAGCAGAGAGAAGCTGCACCTGCGTCAGGCCCCAGTGCCTTCGGTTCCTTTGCAGGAGAGCAGARCGCAGGACTGGGCCCTCACAGCTTCTGGGGATTCCTTCAAATGTGCTCCTGGTGCTCCTCAAGTGCTGCAGAGCTGAGCAAGTGGAGCCCGTGGGATAAACACAGCACAGCGTCAGGAGCACATGATCACCGAATGTTTGGGAAGTTTGCTTTTGGCATACCTTTGTGTCTTGAAAAAAAAGGAAGCTGGTATTTTGTGTACAATAGACTTCTGCAGTAACACGCATTCATAAGCAAGTGCTGCTGCAAGCAACCAAAAGGTTTCCTACACAAATATTTACTTTGTTGAGTATATTTTAACCTGAGAACTAAGRCAGGCAAATATTGGCTACAAAAATCTTCTTCAAATGAGGTATTCCTTTACACATATTCCATCTATCAGAATGTAACAGTAACTGCCTTCAAGTAATATCAAAGCAAACAAGGGAAATAATGGAGACTAGGAAAAAATAATTTCATTTCACCTTACGTTGCTTATCTTAACAAATATGCCAAACAAAATAAGAATRTATCACACTAATACAGATCTTCAGCCCTATCACATGACTTAAATAGGAAGAGGCATGTTGATGTTTAGCCTTACTTAAAAGACCTTTGAGTGTCAGACCTTCTAAATGATATTTTAATGTACCTTGATTGTTTGCATTATCCTTTTATTGAAGTGACAAAAATGGAAAATCACTGCACTGRATATCTGGAGTTTCACAAAATGCCAAATTACTGTGTACATAAACAAAAGCAGACAAATCCAAGCCTGGGAAGCAGGTGATTCTAATGCACTAAATCACTGRCACTAGTAAACTCCAGAATAATTTCAATCAAAAGGCTTGAACCTGTTGTGGTTCAGGATGGCAAAGAACTATAAAGCAAACATAATTRGAATTTTGTAGAACCTATCTAAAGGTCTCTGAGTCTTTAAGTCAGAGGGGTTCATACTTCACCCCTTGAACTCTGTAACAGTTTTGACACCAGCTGTAGCTGAAAGCCAAACAGAATTAGAAATATTGTATCTGAGCTCAAGGAAGCTGCGTGTTTCACAAGGACCAAATCTGTGCACAAAATGTCTTACAGGCTTGTCTCGGTTGTTTATATTTCTTCTTCCCAAAACACGAAAATAAATGATGATGTGCTGGAGTTGACTGTAATSTAAATTTCAGATCAATCTGTACCTGGTTAATAAAATCAACATATACTTAATAGGTGGAGTCCATTTACTCTCAGTGATGCAAACTGYACTAATTAAAAATTCTGGTTTTGAGGCTTCTAATCAAAACAAATAACCAAGCAAAGCTTCTAGGAAAGCCACCAGAATTCACATAAAAGTGACAGGTAATAGTAGAGGACCATAATCTCCTTTCGTGTTTGGTCTCCATTACAAAAGTATGATTTTCACATTCCAGAGTTGGTCAGAAGTTGTACTATTTTACAGGTGCAAATATGTAAGACCACCRCTAAAAGCTTTGTTGCAGAAAACAGATAGAAACCAAAATACATACCGGGATATCTTATGCTTTCTACTCATAGAAAATTCCCACTTAAGGAACTGATCAACACATGAAGACCAATGCCAAACAAATTTGGCAACTTTTGGTATTTATGCTGTCCCACTAAGTTTACTGTCATACAATCATAAACTTCAGTACCAATGGTAAATAGCCACCCTGAATCTACATCCAGCTCCTCACAAACAATTGAAGTCCTGGGTTCACTAATCACTAATCACTGTCTTTTATTTCTAGGTTGTGCCTTTTTCTTAAAATATAGAAGAAAAGGCAGGAAGGATGAGAAGAGTGAGGAGGGGAAACCAACGTATACAATTTTCAATTTCTAACGATTTGTAAATGTTATCCGTACCAGCACCATTTGATATGCTTTACTGCTCACAATACTGTCAGCAGTTTGGGATCCAAGTGTGAACTTGGAATTCGGCCCCGAGTGCTGAAATCAAGATTTCTACGAATTTACTGACCACCCCAACTCCGCAGCAGGAAGAAAAAAGCATCCACCGAATCTCTCTTTTCATTCCCAAGTCCTTATACAACCACTGCAGTTCTCAAGTAAAACGCTTATTGGTATCATATTACTACCCCCATCCACCACCACCACCTAACCCAAGGCAGCTTTTATTATTTCCGTAGAAAATAAAAAATACAGCCTTTACCTTACAGATCTGAAAATAATCTGAAGTGAGCGTCTCCTGGATCTCTTCTCTGGGTGTCCCTGCAGCTCCCGCAGTCCCTCCTGGGTGCACGGAGCCACCACCAGCCCCACTTCCACTGCCACCGCCACTGCTTCCAACAGGGGATGAGGCAGTTAAACCATCCAAAACTTTGCGAAAATTAAATTTCTTCATTTTGGAAAAATCTTTCGGAAGATTTGGGGGGGGAGAAAGGATGTGTCGTAACACATTCAGCTACATGTAGCGAYCGAGAAAGTCTTTAATGGTCCTCTGAGTGAGGCAGCACTTTAAGTCTCTTATACCAAACACAATGTCAATATTAGGTATAATTGACTGAAAAATACAAAGGCTTCATTTTGCCAGACGCAAAAGCTACCTGGAAAGGTCCTTTCCAAAAAAATAAATAAATAAATAAACAAAAAATCCACAAGCAGCAGGACTAGGATTTACGTTCAAACAAGAAACAATGGAACAACCGCCATCGGGTTTGCTCACAAAATCCACATTTAGCAGTGGTCAAAACAGAAAAGTAAATAAAAAATTCAAGCCGGCATCCAAAACAGCGGGATCCATCCCTCTATCTTATCTGCCTAAGATCTGCCTTCGGCACTTGATTATTTCAGCAAAACTACCAAAATTCGTTTACATTCGATTTCCCCTTCCCCTCAAAACCCTTTSAGCCAGGGGTATCTTTGCCCCCGAGGTTTCCGAGGAGCGGATTCCCCGTTSTCAGTCGCTGGCGCGACTCCTGTCTGTGCTTCCCTGCCCACCCCAGCAAATGCCGGCAGCCGCTGCCGCACTCGGTGCTCTTCTCTCTCTCCCCTCGGCTCCACGGCGGGGTACGGGATGCGGGGTGCGAGCCCCTCGCTTTCCTCGCCGCCCCGRCCGCTGCTCCGTGAGGAGCGACCCCCTAAGCCAGCCCGACCGTCCCGGGCTGACCACCCGTCCCGTCCCGTCCCTGCGGTGAGGGACCCCCCGCCCGTCCCGATCACCGAGCCTGTGCCGCTGCCGTGCTGTCCCCCCGGGGCCGCTCCGGCGGGACCGGGCTCCCTTCGGGGCGGGGAGGGGCGGGTGAAGAGCGGAGCGGAGCGGGGCAGGGGAGCGGAGGGCGGCGGTGGCGGCTCCTGCCCGCCCGGCTCGCTCGCAGCCGTTCTCCGAGGTACTGAAAGCTCCGGCGGCGTCAGCCGCAGCTCCTCCTCCTCCCCCTTCCTCCTCCTCCCTCTCTCCCTGCCTCCCTCCCCCGTCCGCCAGGCCCCGCCTGCCGCACCGGCGCGCAGCGGGGSCCTGCTCCCCGCCTCCCCGCCTCCCGCTCTCGGCTCCGGGGTGGGCGGGGAGCGAGAAAGGCGGGGAAGGGTTGGTTMGTGATCGACAGCACCCACAGGTTCCTTTGGCTTTCCGGGCTCGAGTCGGGGGGACGCGACTGGCGGAGAGGGGACAAGGGCGGGGACTGCGCGCAGCCTCTGGGACGGGACAAGGGGTGCCTGAGGGCGCCGCGATCCGCGGCTGCTGATTGGAGCGCTGCGAAGATGGGCACGAGCGTCCACCAATAGGAGCTCAATTCCGTGATGTCCCCGCCCCAACACGGCGGGTGGGCGGGGCCAGAGGAGGCCCCGCCCCACTGCGGCGGGAGCGGCGGCGGSCCCGGGSGRRSSGGMSTKKSGG